ATTTTTCTGCATTTCCAATTTTCTGTTTTTTATTAAGAAAATATCTAATGTCATTTGTACTTTCCCGCTCCGTAAGAAGTTGTCGATAAGGGGAGAAGGCATCCACGATACCCCATCTTGCCTTTGAACTCCTATCAAAATCTGCGTCATTTTCAATAAATAAATCCACAATTTCCATTATGGAAGCTGAACTGGTTTTTAGAAATGCCGCTGAAAATTCTTTTTGCTCTTCTTCAGAATCGCTATTTTTAATATTTTTGTGTTCTTAATTCACTAATTCCTTGAGCTTGTCATCAGAAAGACTTTTTGTTGTGTCTTGCAGAATTTCTTCTAAATCTTCCACATTTACATTCTCTAAACCTGTTTGCTTCCCCAATACCACTATTTCGTTCATATCAACAACAGAATCAGTCTCCTTGTTTAAATTTGGCCAAATGCTTTTCCACACTGCTTTCAAACATTTTTTTCGTTGCCTCATTCCAAGAAAGATTTACGTTTTCTATAGCAACCATGATATTATAGTTCCTCCAAAAATCTCTTATTGAGTGTTTATCATCTCCTTCTGTTTTTTCAAACATTTTTTCGCCGCGTACATAAGTTCGCCGCAAGTAATAAGCTTTAAAATTTGATATAACTCCTTTATCCATCGGTTATATTAATGATGCAGTTGCGTTACGCGGCAACCACTTCGATTGGAATGCATGTTATTAAATCAGATAAATTTGTTGGGTGACCTGGAGCATTATCCATTAAAAGTAGCGCTTTTGGTTCAAGTTTTTATTATTATTATTATTATTATTATTTTGTAATATTGTTTAACAGACAGGCAAAAATGTTCAGTAAACCAACTTTGGAAAATTTTCAAAGTTATCCATAATTTTTTATTAGACTCCCAAATTACAGGTGAAATTGATTTTGATATTCCTTTCATCGCTCATGGGTTTTTCGGGGGATAAACAATAAATTTCGTTTCTCATGGGATAAACAAGAAGTGGCTTTAATTTGAAGTTTCCATTGGCTTTAGCACCCAGGAGAAGTGTTAAGCGATCTTTCGCAGCTTTAAATCCTGGTGCACGTGTTTCTTCACGGGACAGAAATGTATGTTTTGGTATTTTTTCCCAAAATAGGCCCGTTTCACTGACATTAAAAGCTAATTCTGGAGGAAGTTTTATCGCTCAGTTATTGTTCTCAATGTCGCTGTGAATTCAGTCACCGCTTTTATATCTCCACTTTCTGCTTTTCTGTAACGTATATGTTATGAAGATTATTTCTATGTTTAAATCTTATAAACCATCCTCGACTTGCAACGAAAGTTTCATTGTGTCACCTGTTTCAATCTGAATGTGATCAAAAATTCTTCTTGCTTTTCTCATTATAATAGCTTTCCTTAATGGCATATTGCGTTCAATTTCGTCGTCAATCCATACAAGTCAATCCATACAAGTCGTCAAGTCGTTTTTCCATCGACTCTATCGTATTATTTCTAGAGCGAGTTCAGGTTGCAAAGGTTTTTGTAGTTGTAGTTGCTGATGATATTATTTCTTCTTTATTCTTGAAAATTGTCCTTATTGTTGAAGTTGACAAGTTCAATGCAACACCAGTTTGACGTTGACGTTCGCCACTAACTAATCTTCTAAGCACCTGCATTTTAGTTTCTAGCGAAATGCTTTTCTTGTCGCTTTATTTTCGCGTTTGTTATTATCAACCATATTAAAATCTAAAAATATTAATATTTATCACTATAGCAATCATTACATTACATAAATTTATACTTACAATAACAAATACAAATGTTTGAAATAATAAAAATAAGTTTGTGTGACACTACAGAGAAGAGCATTGCGGATTAGTTACTTTCGATTCCGGGGAAGCCCAATGCTGTGCACAATTTTCATGGAATCTCTCTATTCCAATAAAAACGCGTAAAACGAAAACATCGCTAAACGGACCAGTGTTAAATGAGGTCTGACTATACATTAATGGAAATAACCTCCAGAACAATTCCATATTAACTACTTGCTTTTCATATAACTCACAGAAAGATAGGGGTTCGAAAAAAAAAACCAATTCTTGTTTATTATTCTATTGGCTTTATTTCCACAAATTTGGTCCTAGATCTGTTCTTGTAAAGTTTCTCATGATAATGTAAAACTGATACAACTAATTTCAGCATTGAAGGTATAAAGGTTTTCAATTTTTTATGTGGCCCTTGCATAGCAGGGAAATGGTCGATTGGGAAGATGCTCCTTTTGCACTAATAAGTTACGTTCAAAACGTTCCATGTGCAAAATTCAGTGACGTACGTATTTAATAACATCTGAGGGCCTATTACATAACTAGTGTTGTTTAACACAAAACAGTTTCTTAATTGCACAATGAGCTACTTTCATTTTACAGTTGCTCCAGGAGTTTTAAAAGAACATATATGATTTCAGTGAAAGTATGCATTGAATTATCACCATATTTGTTTCTAATATCTTCATGAATTTTCCACATAAAATGAGTATCCTGATGTTACTCACTTTTCCATGACGGAGTTCAGAAACGTAGACCCATGCATAACAGAGAATGGTAGATATTAGCTTTATAATGTTTCTCTCACATATGCAAATAATAACTTGCTTTTGGAAGCATAAAGCAGTTGAATATTGCATCCTTTCACTTAGAAAAACTTGAAATCTGAAACAATTTATCATCATTTGACTAATATTGTAATTCCTGAAATCATATAACTGAAAAATTAGTTAAATTTAAAATATTTTTATATTTGTCTAAAATTTCGATAGTATTCTTAACTTTCATTTGCATATATTCTCTTAAATTTCATTCATATAAATGCAGTTCATGTCTTGGCTTTTCAAAAAATGCTTATTTCTCTTAAAACTTCATGTTTTCAAAGAAATCACCTACCGAGATTTAGAATCTTATTTCACTAATAAAATTTTATATATAGCACTCAAATTTTAATGAACTGTTTTCAGGTCTTTGATAACTTTTATTCTCTGTAATGAAACAAATCATTTGAAGAAAACCATTTTGATATGCTGTAATTCATTGGCTCTAATTTGCACCTGTTAATTTAGTCCCTTCTCACACCCCAAACAAATATTCAAAGCATATAAAATAAGTGAAAAAAATGCTAAAATGCATTTTGCAAATGATTTTTAATAATCAGATAATTAACAAATTCAATAACAAAATTATTATATATATTAAAATCGGTAGTTTTAAAATTTAATTATGCCATAATAATAAGTAATTTGTAAATATTTTCGATTCTAAGACACCATTAATTCTAAGATGCATTCTATTTCCAGCAGCATTTCTTAGAGAAAAAGTGCATTTTTGCATCAAAAAATATGAGAGTTTTTCGTTTCAAATGAATATATGACATACTTACCGTAAGAACCCTCTCTCGAATGCTGTTAGTCAGCAAGATTACCATACAAGACCTTGTTTCTATTTATTTTCATGAAAAAAGATGTTAATATTTTAACAAAGCAAAATAATATGTCAGTATATCAAAATGAAAGTTTCTTTCATTGTTAACATACTTAACATTACACAGTTCATTGAAATATCGCAAAATTCAATTTCAGAGACAAAAATTACTTTTCAAAAGTGTACAAAAGGCATCAACCAAATGAAACTATATTCTTACCTTAACTAATAAATTAGGATTCCTCCATATGTCATAAACATCAGAAAACAATGATTTTCCATCTTGTTCAATGTTCTCAATGCAACATTTTCCACTTTTGATTTTAATTTTAAGAGCAACATGCATTCCTGTGATAGCAAGTGATGCTGAATTTTCATCATTTCCAGATATCAGCTCCCATGACTTAGAGACATATAAATAATAAATGAAAATTAATTGAACATAACTAGTTGGCCATGTGAAATTTGCATTACATGCAGTATAGTTGACTTTACTACTGTTTACACTCATTCCAAACTACAGAGAAAAATTATTGGCACTTTAAGAAAAAAATGTTTCTCATCTTAAAGAGAGATGAATAACAAATTTTCATTTGTATATAGGCATGTATACATACATTGTAGAGAAATTAGGTTATTATTTTTATTTTAAAGCAAGAGACGTGAAAACTGAGCAGTGCTCTCGCCGGGACTCGAACCTAGGATCTCTAGAATACTCGCTGAGTATGCTGACCATTACACCACTAAGGCATGCTAAGAAGGCGGTAAAAATACCTTATAACGTACACAGGCATATAAATATGTAATGTTTTATTAATAACTGATAATTACCTCGCATTAAATATTACATACAATTTATAAATATCTGTAATATAGAAAGAAAGTTTTTAGTATGTAAGCTTGGCATTCAAATCGCTAATTCCAAAATTGTTTACCTCTTTTTATTGCAACTCTTTGATTTAAAATTGAAAGTTTAAGTATTTAAAGTTAATAATTTTAAAGAAATGTAATTAAGTTTAAATATGCATAACATAATTAGAATTTAAATGCTAACTTTGAACTTTTTATCCATTATTTGTTTCACATGCTCAGTTCAACAAATATCTTAAGCACACGAAAACTTTACAGTTAGTAAAAATTATTATTTTTATTATTCCAATTTTGTTGGTATTCTTCTTCAGTTATTATTGGTAATAATGACTTACTAATATAACTGCTTTGCTTCCGCTGCTTTAATGAGACAAGACAATACGTTGATGCTAGTACAGTGAAAGTATATTTTGTTGCTGCTATGCCTGGTTTAATAAAGTATATTGAATATGTTGATATTTCACATTAAAAATGAAGTAAAACATAAAATTTCCTTCACAAATGAAGTAAAATATTTCAAATTCAATTTTATTAGAAATGAAAACAGTATTTTAAAAACTGCATTTAAACTATTACACATACATCTTGTTCAACGAATTATAGCACAGCAATCTATAGTTACTTTGTAAAAAATGCCTTCATGGTTAAATTTGTAAGGAAAATTACTTATTACTACTCATAAGAAAACATGAAACCAAGCACAGTCAGCCTTTCCAAGAATTAAATTCAAACTGATCTAATAATATTTTATGCCTTTAGCCACCCAAGCATTGCGGATCAATTACACATGCATTCGAAACTTATTTTATATATCTTAAATATATTTTATAATGTAAGTACTCCTCAAGCTGATATACACATAACAGCTGGTTAATTAATTATAACCCTGATGATTAATTAACCATGGCTCTAATTATATACACGAAATAAAACCTTCACATGATTTAAAAATAAATGTAAAAAAAAAATGAAAAGAAATATACATACAAAATCCTTAATATTTAATAAAATAAAAGAACATGATTAAATACATTTCTAGCATTATAACAGTTGAAATTTTCAAAGATCAGTTTCATTATAATTCTAGTTTTTAAGGATTTTTAAAATAGAATATAATGAAGGCAACATCGGAGGGAATAATATTCTTAAATTGTTAAAAATCATTAGGCATTTATTCGAGTGAAAAAGCATGCATTTAAGTTTTATGAAACTAGAAGGAAAAAAATATTACTTGATATGGCATATTATTATAACGTCTCTGCAATAATGCTATCACACCAAAACGGTTTGTTTTAAAAGATATATGGCCGGTATCTAAAACAAAATATTAAGCTGTTTTTAAGGCAAGAAAATATTCACCATATGTTATACGAAGTAATAAAATCTAAATTAAAATGATGAATATTTTACCTAATATTCTAATCTATTTTAGCTATTTTTTTAATAATAATTCAGTGGAACTTCGATTATTCCCCAATCTCGAGGTTTTTGACTACAATGATCTAGATTACAAAGGTGAAGATTTTCAGATTCTAATACACACTCTTTTGCAAAAAAATCGAAGCACCATAAAGGAAGTGGTTGTTTTTGACGAAATTGACTATGTTTATAGCTCATACACAGATAATAAAATGATAAAAAAATCAAGGTCATAATACCTGTTCACGGCTCACAATCACCCATTGAGTGTTCATATTAGTGATTGGTCGAACCGCCCCTGACGGCAATGCATGCTTGAATTCGTCGAGGCAAGGAATGGTAGAGGTTCCTAATGTCATCTTGCAACACGTTCTGACAGGCATTCATCAGTTGTCGCACCAGATCTGCGATATTTTGTGGGGCCCGAATCTGGCGGCCTACGTTGTCCCAGACATGCTCGATTGGTGAAAGGTCTGGTGACCTTGCTGGCCAAGGAAGAGTGTCAACCGAACGAAGACAGACCAGAGACATGCGAGCGGTATGTTGTATGGCATTATCTTGTTGGAAAATGGTTCCAGGACGACGTGACATGAAGGGTAATGCAACCGGCCGCAGGGTGGTATCAACATATCGTTGAGCTGTTAAAGATGTACGGAGGAGGACTAAAGATGACCTGCTGTCGTAAGAAATAGCGCCTCACACTACCACACCAGTGGTTATGGCTATATGCCTTTGTAAAACAAAGGCTGATTGGGATTGCTGGCCCCGTCATCTTCTTCAAGAGTAAAGCGGAATTCATCGCTGAACACTATAGGATGCCAGTCTGATGGCAGCCATGATGATCGGCTGCGACACCACTCCAGACGACTCCGCCGATGTTGTGGGGTCAAAGGCAAACGTCTTAAAGGCCTTTGTGAGCGTAACGCCTCCTCAGACAAACACCGTGTGATGGTGGACGGTACCACGGGAGGTATAGACGTGGCTGTAGTGGATTGAATAGTCGACAATGATACTGTTACAGATTTGGTATTTGAATAGTTAATGTTAGTAGAATTATAAATAAAATTGTTTTATTCCCCTCGCAATGCAGCGCGTGGTGAATATTAAAGGAAAGCTAAGCCAGAAAATTAAAAATACAAGAGTGCGTGCATTTAACATTTAATAAATAAATATCTCTTTTTGATTTCGAGAAAGTGCACGAAAATTCTCGCGCATTTAGAAAGCTTATAAGCGGCATGAAATCTTCTCAGTTCGTTATTTTAGTTAATTTGTTGTTGTTTTAAGAGTTTGTTTAGAAAACTGCTCTTGTTGACTATCGAATTTGCGGATTAGCTTTCTCTAGCTGTTTTGAATTAAGTTCTCTTGAACGTTTGAGTAGCTGAAAGATAATTACCGTGAGATATTGTAATACTGAACAAATATCTGAGAAAAATTAAGCATTTTTGTTGTGATAATAATAAATTTTTTTCATTTTTCATCGAACTTGTGCAATCAATTCAAACGAATTACGGTATTGTTGCGTGCGTACGGCACGCAACAATACCGTTGGGTCGGTTCGGGCCTGGCGAACAATCATCCTATCTTGCCTCACATTTGTGATCCTTGGCCTTCTAGACCCTTCATTTCGTCGGCAATTTCCTTGTAGTAACTATTTGCTGCTAACAACTTTACACAGCAGTGTCTGTACGCTGCAGATGACGGCCAGTTGTTCGGTATAACCACCCAGCTTCACGCAACCCTACAATGCGACCACGTTCGAAGTCGTTTAGTTATCTGTAAGGTCTTCGATATCGTCGTAATGGCATCTTAAGTTGCTTTTTTACGGAATTACAATGGCAGCAACAACAACAAAAAAAAAAAAAAAAAAAAAAAAAAAGGTAAAATTTCCGCCTCCGTTACTGGTTTTATACTTTGCGAATTGCGCTCTAGAAATGCGCACTATGATCGCATCTCCTATTCATTTGCCTTGAAGCTTTGAATATTTGCATGTTTAATCAAGATGTGTTTGCATACCAAATTGCGTCACGATCGCAAACGTCCTTCTTGGTGCTTCAATTTTTTTTTTTTTTTTTTTTTTTTTTTGCAAAAGAGTGCATTTTGGGTATTATTACAAAAGAAATGTAGAGAAATTTCGATTATTCACCGGGCTGGAACTGCCTTCATGATTAATAAAGATGGATAACAGATGGATAACAGAATCTCCTCCACCTACCACCATTCCCAGGAATGAGAATCCATAATAAATATCCACCTTTAGAACAGCCTTTTTTACAGTATGAATAAAAATATATACAGACTTAAACTCATTTGAAATTTATCATTTTACAACTCATTTCCTGACTTATATAGTACAAATATAAGGTACTTTTCATTAAAACCATGCCAATTAAATATTGTGTGCCAAAGAATCAAATTCGGTAACCAGTTAATTTCACATTATGAGTATATACACAATAATGTCACTGCAGATAAGCAAGAAAAAAAAAACACTGAGCCAGCAATTTTTCGTCTATTTCAGCTCTCTCTCTCTCTTTTTTTTAATAAAAAAACAATCTATATATATATATATATAGATTTCACAAATTAGTAGTATTCAAATGTCAAATAGTCATGATTTAATTATTACTAGACAGCGGTACCTAAAAACCTCTAAAAGGCATTATTCAAAAACTGCAAAATTAAACACTACTGCAGCACCTCGCACTAAAAGGCATCATTCAAAAAACTATAAAATTAAACACTACTATAACACTGAAATGACATTGCAGTGGAAGATTTATAGAAAGGATGCTGGTTTGAAGGTTTGCATATTCTAATTCTAAGAAGTATTTGGTTTATTAACTTTTGGTATCATAAGCTCACATTAATAGAATTCTATTAGCTGCAACTAATAATCGAACACTATAGAACTGTTAATTTGAATAATTATGTACTTTCTTATTTATGAATTTCTGTATTTGTCTTTTTGATGTAATAAAAAAGACAATTCTTCATGAAGCTGTATATATCTTAAAGAGTTGCCACTCTTATCTTCAGCTGGAAATCATGCTAACATTTATGTTTGGCAACAAGTGGCACTTGAAAGGAATCTCAAACAATATCTAGTTATCAATACAATGGAAAATAACAAATATCTCCACCATTTTCAACAGCATAATTTAATTTTATATCTAATTACCATACACAGAGAATATTTTAAGTTGGTACGAGAAATTTTATAAGCTGCCTGTTAAAGTCTTCACACATGCACACACACACACCATATGTGATATTCCGTTGTTACCGAAGTTGCTATTTTTAATGGAAATATTCCTTAGCAGTTTGACAGCACAATGCTGTATTTACTGAAAAATTATTTTTAGCCTCTCATTCAATATACAGATGGAGAGACAATTATATCTTATCTCCTTTTTTATTATTACTCTTTGTAGCGGCTTCTGCCTGTCTATTATACTGAAAGTTAAAAGAATGGCGGATTAATCAAATTTCCACTGTATATATAAAACCAACTAAATAAGGTAACCAACTATACAGAAAGTACAGTGAGTACCTTCATCATATTTTGTTTCAAAAAAGCCTATAGATGTAAATCCTTTCTTATGATCAACCCAAAAAGCAGGGAGTGGCTGTTCAAGAAATAATACATCATCTGGAACTCTAAATTAAATCACATTAGCGTAAAACATTTCATTATTGCAAATAGCACATAAAATATGAGAAAAATAAGAATCAAGGCATCCATTATAATAAATCATAAATATTTTTACAGTTACCATAAAATAATAAATCATGCTTAAAGTATTTAAAAAACATCTAAAAGTAGCCCGCAAATAAATGTTACTCAAAGGCTTTTTTGTAAAATTCTTTCTTTGTAAGTCTGTAATATCTGAACATAAATAACACTTATACAAAAATGTTAATCATAAAAATATACTTGTACATATATCTAAATGAAGCAAAACATTTTAAAATATTGTAGACAAAGAAATTATAAAAATACCGTACTTCAAGGTCAAAGATATAGCACTACACATTTCTTTATCAAATCGCTTAATTTCGGAATCTGCAAATTCAGCAGCTAAGGCAGGGGACATGTCAGGTTTAGGATGCCTAATTGGTATAATGCTGGTTTGATAAGGAATATGTCTAAGTACTTTTTCTTCACCTATAAGATTAAATAAAATTCTTGTTAGACATTTTTGCAAGTGGTTTTAGTACAAAACTGGATTTTTATAACTAAACAGCATAAAAATTAATCACACACTGGCAAGCAAAAGTTAGAGAACAGCATGATTTTTAAGAATTACACCTCAAAATAAAACATTTATTAAGGTGAATTTTACAATCATGGATCTTCAATGAACTTCAATGAAAATCAAACATCACAATTCTGAAACAATATATTCTTGTTTCAGAATTGTGATGTGAAAGGCAATAAATTTAACCAACAACAAAAAAAAAAAAAAAAAAAAAAAAAAAGCAGAAGTTCGACAATTTTTTTTTTTTAAATTTCTAAATAGTGTGCATGATCATTAAGTATTAACTGGTCTTCTGAACTTTCGGTGCAATATTTGGTAACTACTACCTTACAAATGGTCATAAACCTAACAAAAACATATATTCTTCACTTTCGATATATTAACAAATGCACATTTATAAGAGAAGCAATTTCAAATATGACATCTGATTTCTTATCATTTGATCTTTTATTCACATTATTTATTGATTTGTGTGTAAGTGTTCTGATCTAAAGGGTAAAGAGGTTATCCCTTTAGATCTATTTTAAACATTATTTTTAGCAATTTTATTTTTAACCTTTTTTTGCTACTCACTTCCTGCAACCTAGTTTTCCTGAATTTTTAAAATTGTAAGGCTAGTTAAATTTAGGTTAGTTTATCTTCCTTTAAAATATTTCTGGTATATATATATAGGAAATATGGCAGAACTTCACTGGTTGTTGCCCAATACAGTCTTATGGCTAAACATTGATTTGTTTAGGTAGATTGGGGTCTTACCGTTATCTCAGATCAAATTTGACTTGTTAAGAAGTAAAGGCAATAATCGAATTTTATTTTCTACTGAAGACAGCAAAATGAAGTCTTTAGCATGGATTTTATTTTGAATTTTCAGCATTAAAAAATATTCAGATGAATCCTACTTGAGGTAGAAGGATTCAGAAACTAGAAGAAAGGTCAAAGACAGGAAAGTGTTCTATAGGCCCATTATCATTCTAGTAGTACTGATTTCTAACAAATGATAACACCATAACAATACCCAACTAACAACAATCTAATAGATTTTTCAGACACCTATTTAGCAACTGCTGTTACCCTAAGGTTACCTGACTAACCACAATCTAGTAGATTTACTAGATACCTATTTAGCAATTGCTGTTATCCTAGTAATCCAAATCTTGCAAAAGCAGGTTTGGATCGCTTGAAAAAAAGACAGGATAAGATGTTCAAAGGATTGGAAATGCGTCAAATAGCTCCATAAATGTGGATTGTTTGTCTAATTACCAATATAATATGCCCTCTTAATACTTATCACACAGTTATGTCTTACTCAAATACAATGTAATATTAATTTCAATATGATTGAAATAATTACAGTTAAATTATAGTTAAATGTATTTTTAATAATTTTGGTATCTCCAATCACAAATCATCTATATTCACTTTCTCCTAATTACAACTGATGTAAGAACGTCACTGATAAAAAAATAAAAATAAAAAGTACTCTGAACATTACTTTAAAGTTACTTTTAAACTTACAATGTTTACTTACATAAAATTTAACATACTAACAAATTAACAGTTCAATACTTTTAAAAAAATCACTACATCTAAATAGCTGTTTCTTAGAAGACACCATTCATTCACTCCACACATTAAATCAAACAGATAGTTTTCCCCAGAGAAATTGGTTACTAATTTTTTAAAAGTCTTATTTGATTATTCATTCAAAATTTCAGCTATATATATATATATATTCCCCCCCTTCCCCTGTAAACTGTGTATATCTCAGTAGCAATACATACTTTTTATCACATAGAGATGTGCACTACTTGAATAAAACTTTAAAATATTACTAATTTATATGACTTAAAAATTTATATTACTTAATTTACTTAAAAATATCAGTAATATTCACTAAAATATTAGCTCAGTCAAATTCAGTCAAAATTCAGTCAAATTATACAAAAAGCAATTCACAAAAATAAGAAAGTAGTCGATCTATTTTCCAGTATTTGAATTGTGGTCAAACCTCTATTTATTTATTTCACCACTAGTAGACCTGACATAGTATTCATTGTCTTTGAGGTGATTATATCCTTCGCAGAAAACATTTCCTTTTACCCCTTACAGTAATTGTTCACCACCTCTGAATAAAATCTCTCTTTTATTATTGTCGCTGTGTTGTTTCCCTCATCATTCTGGTATTCAGGAACTTACACCAGAATTGTACAACGTAGTAGCAACGAGCCAGCCAGAAGCAACGTACTACCCACATTACATAAAACTCCGACAGTTCCAATAAAATAATTGGGAACTAGGTTTGTCCATTTAAAAGATTCTCTACCCAACTGTTATATGAAGGGTGGTTACATACGCTGTTCTATTCTTGGCCCAGCAAATGCAAGGGAGAGAGTAAGACATATTCTCAGCGTCCACCGCCCATTTGCGCTTAACATCCCAAGGGCTTCCGTACAAGAACAACTGCATTAATTAATGTCCTGACAGGGTCTAACACCATTGCATAGTGTTGAGAAAGAAGCAGTAATCTAATCAGTATTTCATCTTCGCACTCCCATAAACTTCTGTGATGAGTGGCAATCTCCACAAAATTATGAAATGACAGCGACGACGCTACATGTTCGCCTAGCACTTAAAGGGCAAGGTGTAAACACACATCTGCACCATCATAACATCCCCAGCAACAACACATCGACTGCATACACGAATGATTAACCATGAAAGACAAATCTGGCAGTGCACTAGTTCTTCAGCATGGAGAAGAAACCTTACACTTATCGGGGAAGCAACCAAGCGATAATAGTAGTTTTAGGCAGAAGCAGTAGCTATTTCCAAAGATATCTAGTACATCACTCCAGCAAAAGCTACAGGACATCACCATCCACAAAAACAGCATATTGATACTTCTGTCCATACTCAACCCCATCCATCGCCGTACTCACACATCCCATACAGTTACGCAAATCCAGAGAGACTTGCGGAAGTATTAACATCACATCACGCTCTCTTGGGGGAAAACACATGCTGTGGTCAATGGAAATGAAGCAGCTCACAGATAGCCAAGGAGGCAACATCAGGAATAATATATTATCCACAATCAGCACTTTAGCCTCGCTCATACTTGAAGAAACAAGTGAAATGCAAGCCACAAATCAAATGGCAAACAGAATGTGAAAATGGCTGCCGCACATTACTTTTGCATCACACAAGTAGACGACGAATACAACATGACTTCCCCGCAAATTAACACGATTTATCACAGGACATAGTCCCTTTCCCGAATATGTCAATGGACACGGCGTCAACAACACCGACCTCTGTGTCTGTGTAGAAATTTGTAATCCAGACCATTATCTTACCATTTGTCCATTTACCATAGAACACCACCTTAAAATCTCCAGAAACAATATACTGCTGCAAGTTTATGGTAAAACCACGTCATCAAGTGGCAAGGATCGTCCCGATTATCAACAAGCTTGCAAAACTCTGAACCAACCTATTCCTCGTAATATAATTTGTTTTTTAATATTACTTTGTTTGCTTTTACTTTTTTGTTTTAGTTTTTGTTAAAAGGAATAGTGCATGGTAATAATTTAATATTCATTCTGCGTGTTTCTAGAAATTTAACTCTCTGTACCATGCATTTGGATGTCGTGCATTATATGTTTGTAAAAATTCAATAACGTTCGTAAAGTGTTGTCTTTATAACGTATACTATTCTAACAGAATATTCTGCTGTAAAGTAATTTGAGTACCTGAAATAACGTAATGATTACGTAAATTATGTAACTTTGTCCTGAACTGTCATCTTTCTGGTATTTGTTATGATAATTTTTATTTAGATAATTTTTGTTAAGATAATTAATTACACGATTTTCCCATACCAGTTGACTCCCATTTAAAACTATGGATGAAACCTGTTTGTTCTTTAAATTTTGCCGTCTAGTGTATTTCAACACATACTTTTTAAATCTACATATAAAATTCTATCTACATATAAAACTCTTGTAATAATCTCAAAATTCTCATTTGCAGGTGATGTGAATAAGTTAGCTAACTGCACAGAATTTATGCAAAGCAACTACAAGTACACTTCAGTTGGAACTCAAAGGTCCGAAAAGTTAAATAAATTCTTTTCACTTGTGAACCACTTAAAATTAACTTTTTAAAAGATAGTAGTATGTACACCCAAAAGTAATGATAAAAAAAATGTAGGTAGAAACAAATGCTTAAAAATGTGTTACACTTTTTCAAAAATACAAATACTTATAATTGAACTAGTTATGTAATTATAATACTTAAAAGAGACATTTTCAATATACAAGGAAACTACTTACAGTGAGAAAATATCCAAGAACCTGCCATCACAGTTGGATAAGGTAGGTAAAATAAATCAAAGTGATAGATACCACCTACAGCAAAATATTCAGACTTCTCCAAAATCGTTAATTCAGGTTCTTCAGGAGGAGCTAATTAAAAAAATAAATAAATAATTCAGTTAGAAAACATAAATGTAATAAGCATCAATTAATCTTTTAAATGAAGGACGGTAGAAAGATTTGAAACTGATTTCATGAAATTTAAAAAAAAAAAAAAATTAAATCAGGATCGTATTTATATTATAAATATTTTGGTGCTTTTCCATTCCACAGAAAAAAAAAAAAAAAAAATTCATTTCCACAGGAAAAAAAAAATGACTTTTCTAAATCTGAGAAATCGCTGAATATTGTAAACCTTGTAAAAGCTTTTCTTGCCAACAGATCACATTCACAAATTACCACTGACATAGCTTGAGAGAGATTTTTAATTTTTATTTGCCTACCAGCGTATTTTAGCACATAATATGAACTGTTAATAATTTTGATTCTTGCTGAAATATATATATTTGATGTAAGCTTTACAAATATTTGTAACCGTAGTTGAATTTAAATGACACATCTAATAATACCTTGTTATTTTTAACTCAAACAACAACAACAACAACAAAAAACAAACAAAAAAAAAAAAAACATTTACTATCACTTAGCAACAAGCAGTCACAATGTATTTATTTTACCGTATTTTATAAATATGATCTTTATGTCTTGAATATAAATTTTATATCGTATTTAATGTAATGTAAGTTTTGTACTTACAACACATTAAGTAATTCTAGTCGTTAATATGTTATATAACTTTCCCTAAATTTAAATTTGAAGAATTGGTTAAAATAACACAAGAGATTACAATACTCTTTTTATTTTATGAATGGTAGTATTGTTTTGCTTATATTTAACAGTTAAGGTTATCTTAGTTTAACTAAGTACGGAACTGGATGACAATGGTTCATGTTTGTCTGGTGTTGTATTTAACACGAAAGTTCCAAAAATGTTTAATGGTCAATATTAATATTAATTTAAATATCTATATTTACACTCCTGATCGTCCTTATAAATTAAAGCAAAGCTTAAATCACTTTTAAATTTTCAACTACACTAAATCTTCAATTAGAATGAATTATACGTATAAGTATTGATGCAATAATTTTCAGTAATCAACCGGTACACTGCGCCTTCACAATAGAGAATGTAACCCAAATGGCAGAAATTATTCATTCATACAGATTATGAAAAGTGTAAGCTGATCATGCTGGATCACCCGGCAGAGTGATCACCCGGCTGGATCACCCGACATCGCACACAGTGCGCTTACACTTTGCATCCGAAGAGAAAGCCCTAGCCATTTATACAGATGGCTCAAAAACCGAAAAGGGCATACATTGCGGCTACTGCGTACTTCAAGGAAGAGAAGTGATTAGAACTTGTAAAAGACGCTTAGAAGGTAAAAATGTCGTCTTTCAGGTAGAGCTGATTGCGATAAAAGCAGCAATCAGTTTGACCAAATCTCCTACAGCTGAAAAGATAACTAAATTTAGTGACTTAGCTTCAAGCTTGGAGGCAATTCAAGAGCAAATAGGAGTACAGTAGTACAGAACTAACAAAAAGTTCTAAGTATCCCATCAGATGACAGACCCAACTGGTCTGAGTTCCCGCACATGTGAGAATAGCTGGAAAGGAAGTAGCGGACTTATACTCTAAATCTGCAGCTAACGATCCTAATAGACTCGAAAACCAAGTAAGCGTGTACAGTCATGTTTGAAGAGAATTACGCTAAACTATCTAGTACAAGAGGGGCAAAAAATGGGATGTTGAAAATACAGGAAGAAGGACATAGCGGTCTTGCTCAAAAGTTTTATGTATTACAAAGACACAGACCTAGTTTTATACGGAACGTGGTCCTTTGCTCCATTACCTTCACAGATTTGGAAAACGAGATGCATACTCAAGTGAATATGTAGAGGTAGATAAGCCAGATCACTACCTTTTTCCACTGTCCGAACACAAAGAATGAGAACTTTAAATTCTTAGCACTGCCTACTGATTGTTGTGGGCCGAGAGTACATGTGAAAATAAGCAGGTCAGACGTAATTGAGAACATTATCAGACTCTGTGCAGTAAAATATTAAAAACGGGAATTGCCTTAGCAGTTTCGGCACAAGACATTTTTCTTCCTGCAAGGAACAGTGCTTCGACTAAACATTTTAGGTGAACAGCCTAGCGCAGCTAAACCAAACAATACTAGCGGTCAAGGTTTGGTACAGTAACAGTGATACTCCCTTTACAACTACCACACCCTCAATATTAGTTCCAATAACTGAAAGTGTCAGTACATATATATATCTCTAACAGAACTGTAAATAGGGACTGTATAATGTTTCGCCCTTTTGCTTGAACTCAATCTTTTGATGTATATAATGTTAATCAGGGTTATTGGGTACATGTGGACGCACATCGAAATCATTAAAGGACATGTAAATAGTAAGGAAATAATATATGAAAACAAGCAATGAGTGTATTACTTATAGAATGAATGCAATCACCAGAACCTTCTATATTTACGTAATGAACCTAGTGTATGCATGTTATGAACCTTGTGTATTTATGTAGGTCATGTATTCTGTAAATATTGATTAGTCACAATAATTACGATATCTATTTTCACGCTGAGGTTTTCCATCTGCAAGTATGATGATACACTGAAAAACATTTATTTAAATGTCAGGTCAGTGGTCATCCCTGGTGGCGCACAGTAATTAACCATTTTCATTAGCAAAAATAACAATGATAATTTTTATTCTAGTAAGAAACAAACTAAATAATGCATGTAATGCTTAATGAACTGGTAGCCCAAGCAATGATCCTGAACCCAGGAATTGTTGTGTGGGGTCTTGGGCCAGCACAAAATACAAATACACTCCACTGTAAAATTTCTAGGTGGCGTTATCAATTATCCTTTGAAAAGCTGGTTGTCTTAATCCTTTTCTTCACAGCAGCTGTCTGCAGAACTTTTTTAAAAATATCCTTTGTTAGTGAAAACTCTTATTCACTAAAAAACTAACTGCATCTTTAAAATTCTGAAGACATTTATGACTATTTAAGATCAAAACTTTCTCTGTCTAGTTTCCAGCTCGCATAGAACATTAATATGTGATTGTTTTGCAATTTTCTCCAAATGAGGCCTTAAAGAAAGCGAATGGAATATAAAAAAGAAGTGAAATTATGGAGAATGTTTTTAGATACTGTAAATATGGACTATATAATGTTAAAAGATATATATAGATATAGTTAAAAGATATAGATATAAGATAAAATAATAAGACATATTTATCTTATAAAAGCTATTTTTATTTTCAAATTTAAAGCAGTCACGATTATGATACCAAATTTGAGTTTGAGCTTGAAAAAATAAAACTTTAGTATCAATCGAAATCACTAATACTTACATAAAAGAAGAATACAGTGATTAAGGTAAAGACAAATCGAATCTAAAAGTAAGGACTAATGAGTGTAATATCCCAACCAATTAATCCAAACTTAAATGTATTCCCTGGATATAATGAAACTCTAGACAGCAGGGAGCTTTTTATTGATTCTAGCATAATAAATAACGCTTTGAACTGTAACCAGCATTATTATTCTTTAGGTAAGGACAGAAGAAAGATATTTTAAATGCAAGCATTTAATTTACTTGAATAAGACCTATTAAAACTCAACAAAAAGTTTCTTAGTTCCAGTTTAGTTCCAGTCCAGCTGGTTTCATTTAATAATTAAATAAAAAATTAATATTAACATAAATGTTACTTATAAAAACCTGTATGTCGCAAATATATCTAATAACATACTTTTTATGTTATTAGATATATCTATGTATTTGTAGATTTACATTTAAGCGTATAATTTGCATTAAGATTAGAGATGAGATTAATAGGGCCCCTGAATGACTTGATAAATTACTTCTGAGTGTATATCTTTCACTAGGCTAATGAGAACAGGGTTTTAATATCAGTGAGAATAGGGTTTTTAATATCAAAAACCCATTCTAAGAAAAAATAGAGCTTCATTATTCACATTCAATAATTGAAATAATTCAGAAGTCAGTATATAAGAATTGCAGAATTTACCTATAATTGTAGAAAATGAAACCTCATATCTCAAATTAAAAACAATTATCTACTAGTTACATACTATTGCTAAATAGCCCAAAACGCTTTAAATTAGGAAGCATAATTTAGTAATAGTTAAAACTATTTAAAATTTTGAAACATAGCTGCTAATGAAAGTTAATTTTTACACCTGAAGTTTTAAAAAATATAATGAAACATGTAAACGGCGATGCACATAAATAAAAAATAATTTATCTAAATAAAAAACAAAAGTAAGAGAGCTATCTCGAACTTAAAATATCCATAAAACAATGGAAATATAGAAGGAACTGGATGAAAAAATATCTAATAATCGGATTTAAAAAAAAATCAACATTATTATATCAAAAAAGATGAAATTGCTTTTAAAATAAAACAACAAATATTCATAATATCAAATATATCAGTTTCTAATATTAGAGTAAGTTAATTAATATAGAAAGTTAAAGAAAAACTATTTCTGGATAAAGATACCAATTTTTGGGAATAATTACTATATTACACACACATGCATAAGTTTTAAAAAATGCACAATAATGAAGAGAAAAAAGATTTAAATAAACATAAAATGCAATCAGATTTTCTTTAGAGCAATGTATCTACCTAATTATTCTTATAAACCTATGTTATGATTTAGATTTAACGTTAAATATCAGAAGTTTTCGACCAGGCCGGCAAGTAAAAATTCTTCCCTAAATACAGTGTTGGCCTTTAAAATTGCAACACCATGAAGGAAAGCAAATATAAAAAGGATATTTATTGTACGTAAACAGTATGGAATGAAGATAAAATAAATTAATATAATTAAATTTGTAAGCAGTTTAGGGGTTTACAGGTGTGAGAAATTAGCAGAAACAGCTGCCAGCATTGGTATCTGAAACGGCCCTTACATGGTTAGGCATGGAGTCGAACTAGGCTTGGATAACAGAAACGGGCAGCTCATTCCATGCTGCTTCATATCTATGCCAACATCATCAACCGTATTAGCTGGAGAGGGCTGGCGGTCCAATCTCTCAGCAACCCATGATCAGATGTTTTCAATGGGTGACAGATCTGGACACCGTGCAGGCCAGGGCAGCAATAAAATACCCTGTGTGTCGAGTGTGGTCTGGTGCTTGCTAGGTGTTCAAACTGACCCTGTGTATTGAGGAAGGTCAGAACACGACGTGCAACGTGTGACCACATGTTAAATTATCTTATTGGAAGATGGCATTTGGCAGACCTCGAAGATAGGGTACAGCCACTGGACGTAAGATGTCAAAAATGTACCAATCTGCTTTCAAATTATCGTTGATCCGAATTAGAGATGTGCGTGCTATGCACCCAATGGCTCTCAAACCATTACACAAGGTGCAGGACCCCTCCCCTATGCCGATATTGAATACAAGCACGCAACTTGCAGTTTCCAGACATGTATACGGCTGTCAGAATACTGGCCGAAGAACCGGGATTCGTTTGAAAAAAAGTCGTTGTGCCACTCCTGTATCCAGCTTTGTCGTGAGGCGCACCAGAGTCGCCGTCTTTCTCTATGCTGCATTGTCAAGGGAAGTCGAAGTAATGATCGTCGTGTTGATAATCCACGGGGCTGCAAACGTCGACCCACCGTACGAAGCGAATACTAGGCGTGCCGTAAACATGCCGATTTCCTTATTAATGGTCCGTGATGTGGTTGTACGGTTTTGCAGGGCTGACCTCACAATATTTCTGTCCTCTCGCGCGTTATTCATAGGAGAGCGTTGAGACCTGCATTGCCATTTAATATGACCCTCAACAAAGCATTAATTCCATATCTGCATGACAGTGGTTGGATGTCGACCAGTGCGACGGGCGATATCACGGAACGGTAATCCACACTCTCGATAGGCAACGACTCTGCCTCTGTCGCATTGAGACACTTGCTGGTAAGCATTTCTTCTTATTATTCGAGACATAACACGATATTCTGAGCAACCTCCGACCTTACAAAGCGCTTTCCGAATGAGAAATCCACTCAACAACTTTTCTTTTGAGCATTTCTTCAGATATCGTTTCTCTATCCTGCGTCGTATAAATGGGCTGAAATACTAATCACTTGCACATCTCACCTCTTGTTATTTTCATGTGGTTTTGACGTTAGAAAGATCATTCTTTCCTGGTGTTGCAATTTTAATGTCTAGCAGTGTATTTGAGAAAATTACTGCTCCTTTTAAATCATTCTAATTTAAATATCATCTTCAATTATGAAAAGAAATCATGGTACTTATCATGGAAATCATGGTTTGTTTCAATATTCAGTAGAACTGTATTTTTGGCATATTTTTGAGCTTACACCTAACAATAGTCAATACATGCATGCACATTATACCCCCTCGTTTGAGTACATGTGGATTTACCCATATTATATTTAACCATATCCATCAGTTGTAAAAATGTGAATGTCTGCCATATAATTTCTGTTTTATTTCTCACATTTTTTAAAGTGATTTTTATTAGTACTTGTGTACAGAACAGTACCTTTAAGCTGAAAAGATAATCAAAAAGTAGAAAAATCACAAAATTAAATTAAAATGCGTAAACACTTCTAATTTTGAAGGGAAAAATATATAAGAAAAGTCAAAAGAATAAGAATTACAAGTATTTTCTCCGGCATGGTGCAGGTATGTCAGAACGCATTCTTGATTCATAAGCAAACTATTGATAAAAATAAATTACGGTATGACAACACATTAGCCTGTAAATATGCATTAAACAAACTTACTAAACATTACAATGGGATTTTTATCCACTTCTGAGTGGCTTGCAGTAGCTGATTCCATAGAAGAAATTTGCTTGGAAACTGCAGAAGTTAATTCAGCATGGAAAGCAGTAGATAAAGCTTCATTCTGAAAATTTAAATATATTTGTTTTGGCTGTTTCAAACTAATCTTATATGGAATTCATAGTATTATTTAAATTATATCATTACCTTAGCATCTAACAGTTCATTTTCAGTTCGGGGAAATATTTCATCTAAAAGAGTTTCACTGCAAGGTTCTGTAATATTTAATGCATTTTATGATAAGAAATGCCCATTTTGATCTTATTACTTAAACAAATATACATATTTAGAGAAATATGCAGATATATAGATTATTACAAATTTAGAAAATGCATAATCAGTAAATTTTTGCCCTGCATTTTGTTTAGATTCCTGAAATAAAACATATGTTACAATGAGTTACTTGAATTTATATTAATTATATTAAGACAAGCTAAGAATGAAGCTAACAATGAAGACTTATATAAAAGAATTGCTTGGAAAAAAAGAATAAAACATTTGTATAAATCAGGATCGGCAAACGTTTTTTAGAAAGGGCCAGACTAAACATTTTAGGCTCGGCAAGCCAAGTAGCAAACATAAAGATATGAATGGGTAATTTTCTCATAGAACAAAACAATGTTAATATTTTTATTATGAAGTGATATTTTCACATAATATTTATACACATTTTACTAACAAAAAAGTAATAAAAGATTTGCGCATTAAAAAACGTTATTATTAAATAGATAAAAATTTCTAATGCGAAGAATATAACTGTTTTTTCTGAGATAATATTTCACCATACTTGAGTTGAAATTAGTACTTCCTACCATTAAAGTTCTTTGTAATATGATCGGAATTGCGATTTTTTTAATTTCATTTTCAAAAATTTCTTTTCACTTTGATAAGTACTCCCAGATAAGGACATCCGTTCCCGTGCATATGATTTTAACTGAATGTATTTATCTTCCGAAAGATATTTATAAAATTGGGTTAAATCTTTTTCTTTAATACTGCATAATTAAGTGAGTCAGGATATTCAGCTTCGATCTGTAATAAAAATTCACGAAACTGGTGATGGTTAAGTCTGAGAGCGAATGAAGTTGCCTACTTATACAACTGGTTCAGTAACATATGAGAGACAGATGCCTTTCCCACAAAGAACTTGCTGTTGAATAATAAAATGAATAACAGAAGTTTAAACATTTAGCATCTTCACACATCTTCAGTGGCGTAGCAAGCGTAACTGGCGCCCGGGGCAAAATAACTTTTTGGCGCCCCCCCCCACAAAAAAAACTTTCAGTAATATAATGTATAGAATATATTCGTAATAAGAAAATAATGCAAATAATAATAAAATGCTGAATCTGCCATAAAATACTCAAAAATATATAAAGATTAGTCACTACCTAACTGCACTAGCCTTGGATTCGGAAATGCATCTGTGTCGGCGGAAAAATCTGACCTACGATGATCTAGAATTAGTTAAAAAGGTGTTATTTATTTTACATATTTATATAAGTGTTTTTAAAAAGTACAGTTTTTAAACAATTAAAAGTTTAATATACATTATAGATAAACAGATATGTGGCAACTTACCTACTACAACTCAACTCTGCCAGTCTGATAACCCATAGCAACCAAAAACAAAAATAATATTTGTTCCATTCAATTGTTATAATTGTTTAACGATCTGTCTCAAAAAATTGTACTACCATAATTGGTGACACGCATTTATTACGAATGGCAACCTTCAATGTTGCACAAGTATGGAGTTTATATGTCTAAATTCTGAGCAGCAGTAAGTTATCCAGTGTGATGAGATGCAAGTAAGACATTCACCTGTCATTTCAAGCTTTTTGCCGCATTCCGGTGAGTCAACATATTTCTGTCATAATTTCAGCGGATATATGTATCGTCTGCTGCATTTGAGCCTCCAATTTCTCTGATTTCAAGTACCAAGAAACTGTGTCACTATATACATATTCATTATTTTTCTATACATATTATTATTGTGCATATTTGATTGAGCTAAAGTGGTTGACAACGATGCTGCTTCGCAATTGGCGAGAGTGGCAGTTAAGCCACCGCCTTTTTCTCGCCGAGACCCATCGTTATGGTTCATTCAATTGGATGCGCAGTTGAGTCACATTACTGCCGACGAAACTCAATTTTATACAGTGATCGCTGCGTTAGAATCAAAGGTACTGCAATCAGCTCATGAAATAATTTTGAATCCATCGACGACGGACAATTACAAATCTTTAAAAAAAATTAATTTCTGTTTATGAAGAATCCGAGACAGTTAAAATCGAACAGCTGTTGCATGATTTACGGTTGGGTGATATGAGGCCTTCTCACTTGCTGTCTAAAATGTCAGATTTAGTCGCCGGTAACCTAACGGATAACATTCTTAAAACATTATGGATGAATAGACTCCCATCTAACATGCAAACTATTTTAGCGGCCAGTAGCGAGCCACTTAAAAATCTTCCCGAAATCGCTGATAAAATTCACGAGATGGCCATTCCAGAGCAAATACACGCAGTGCAGGCTCCTGGTCCAGGTATTGTGGTGTTACAAGCTTATATTGATGATCTGTCCAAACAGGTTGCTCAATTAGTAGTCATCCAAGCTGAACCTTTTCAGCGCAACAGCTCCGCATCACGTGGTCGAAATACACGCTGTAGCCAACTGAGGAAACGTTATCAAAGCCCTCCTCCAAGTCATAATAGTCATAATACAGGGAAGACCCAATCCTCCTAGTCCCATGACCATATGATTATGAAAGGTCGACCCCCTCAAGACCAAAAAAGGAAAGAAGAGAGAAAAAGAAGCTAATTATCTAAAAATAATTGGAGGTTAATTAACGAACTAAAAATAAGGAAGAGACATACAAACAACGAAGCACAACACCAACATTCAAAATCCAAAAACAATGAAAAACTCCACGAGCAAACAGAGTGGCTGAAACTCTCAAGAAATATTCATTCACATGAATTTTCGGAACAGGCACAGGCGGTCCAAAGCCATCGAGGAATTCCCAATTTAAATAACCTGCAGAAGGTCAAACCGAATTCCCTACAGTATTACTTTAATAGCATATTATTTGTAAAATCATAATTCTATTTAAACTATTAATTTATTTAAAAAAATTTACTTTAATAGTCCTACTACTATCTGAATTCAAATGTATTAATTATCCTTAATAATCATAGAAAAGAAGCTCCAGGACTGCCAATAACCGAAACTGGAAAAATTTAAGATTGCCATGTATCATATTAAAACCCTAGTAATTACTCCATTAAGAACAGAATATAAGAAAAAATTTTAAAACTTTAAAATTTCAGAACATTTTAAAATCAAAAACTACAATTAAAAAATATAAAAATTCCATAAAATTTAAAATTTAAAAATCAAAATCCTAAAACTCAAAACCACTAATTTCGATAATTTAAATCTGGTAATCCATCAGGATTCTCAACATTTGCAAAGGCCATATCTATGTAACAATCAACTGCATCTCTTCGAAATACCGCATGTACAAAACATCCACAATGCATTAAATAAAACACTACACAGAAAAATTTCAAAATTTTCGTAGTAAACCTATAAATACTCATAACTGAAAAATATAATACATATAATCAAAAGATAAATATACACAATACTAAACAAATATTCCAAATTCAATATTAGAATTGATCAAATCCATTGCACATTTAGAATATGTTTTTACGATTTTCAAGTTCCATGACTTATCTCCCAAACATTTCTTTCTCAAATTTTCCAGTAAGGAACAATGATTCAAGAAGTGATCTGCGTTACCAACTTGATAGGCAATGACCACACAAGTCTGAATTTTGTAAATTAAATCTCGAGAGGTACGCGGGAAATCTTCCATGCCCAGTTAAAAACTGGTTTAAATCAATATTACTAATTGGTCGCATACCATTTTGAATTTTAATAGACTTCAAAAGACCCACGCACCTCTCTGATTCATTCCATCTAGTAGTATTCCAAATATCATTATAAAAATTGTTTCATGTTTCTAATTGCATAACTTCTCAAACCAGAAATTTCTGTTTATATTCACAATCATCATTAGTGGTCGGCCTCTTTAGCCAGCACGTCGGCCCTTTCATTTCCAACAAAGCCAACATGTGCTTTTATCCAGTGTAAATGAATGCACATATTCTGCATCAAAAATTTCAATAGACATTTAATATCAAATATTAATAAATTAGTAGGACGGGCCGAGGTCAAGGATTGAAGCAAAGACATACAATCAGTATATATATGAATAGAATTAACACAAGTCAAAATTTTCCTTAACCCACTTGAAGGGCTTTAAGTAAAGCACAGCATTCCGATTGAAATACAGAATTATAATTATTAAGCTTATATTTTTTATTTTCAATTTCAGTTCCATAATGATAAATCACAAATGCTGCACCCAATTTATCATCTTGCCTGGACCCGTCAGCATAAATATCCAATTCTCCGACTATTGGGAGTTTACAATCAAATTCAAAAACACACATAAACCAGAAGGATGTACCAAAATATTATTAATTCTTTCAAACATATGCCTTGTAATCAAAATATCTTTATACAATTTAAAATCAAGTCTACCAGTTCTAAACAAAAATTTTTCAAAATATAATTTATATAAAATTGAAAGAGGCGGCGTGCCGGCTAGAACGCAGAGCACCTCAGTTGAGACAGTACGGAAACATCTTGTAATCATTAAGCACCAGCTCCTCTGTATCGCATCGAGTTTGTTCCTCAACCTGACCAAATCCCCGGCACTGGATCCCCAGGCACCAATTCCATAGAAAACTCTAGGGATAATTACATTATTCAAAATATCTTTAAGAATGCATGATTTGTTACAAAGTGTCTCACTAGAAAAAGGATCTCCTGTAAAACATTAACATATCATCTGAGAGCCGATGAATTGTTTTAAAATGATCTGCGAAGGTCAACTTGCAATCAATCTTGACTCCCAAATATTTAATAACATCAACAAACTTTATTCTTTTTCCTTGATATCTAAATTGTGGAGCTCTCACTTTGATCCCAGCCCGCGGGAAAATGATTGCAAAAGTTTTTCTAAGTTGAATTCAAGACCCTCGCCGATTCTCCAGTTTTCCAGTTTTAACATAACATTCTCAAATGATTTCTCGAGTTTTTCCAATGATGCACCATACATCAGAACAGCAAGATCATC